CTAAATATTTTGTTGCAGTGTATTGCAATTATTTCATGAGCTCTCGCTCTTTCGAATTTCAGCTTTTGCCTTTCCCCTTATAGATAATATTAATTAAAAATCTGCTTCAACTGACTTTAATTAATAATTGAACTGTTGTCATTTCAGCTCTTCTTTTTGGCAGATTGCCTGAGATTAGTCAGCTGTCAATTTGGCAGCTGATTCAGTCGCTCAATAAGTGCGTCATGCATTGTGCGTCTATCTAAATTTTTATGCCACTGATAAGCGTGCAATAAAAGTTGACTTCGACGAGCGCTGAATTCAGGAAAGAATTATCTATATGGCCTATTTTTGGATAGTACCATGCAGTCACGAGATTTTCAGAGATGACAGCCAACAAGAAATAATGCCACGAGAAATACTTAAGCTAGGCAGAGAATTTGAACAAGTTTAAGGAAACTCCGACTCATATCTCAGACCGAGTTTAGTAGCCGCTGATTTAGAGATCTTGAAGTTCAAATTGGTCGGAAACACACATATCATATAAAGACAAAAAATATACCAATACTTATACTTAGTAGTAGAAAGAGTAATTCTTTCGTCAGCATGTCCTATATTTATGGCATAACCGACATCAAATATAAGCCAAAAGAGAAAAAGAAAAGGCACGAATTAACGTCAGATGTTCCACCAGTTAAATACCGAACCCATGATCTGCTCGCACGTCGCCCAACGTACAATCACGATGAATGGCCCATTGACTTTCGTGCCACGCCCGCATCTCTCGTGGAGCTATCTATTTGCGCAGTCGATAAGCTGCCGTTGCCGTCGGTCTATGAGTGGGACGACAAGGCCATACGACTCTGGATTTGCCGCTATGGATATCCCCAATACATGGTGAGTTCTCTACGTAACTCAATATATTTATATATAATATATTCGTAGGACGCTCTGTTTCCTCTTCGTAGCGCACATTCCGTGTGAATTTGATCTGGGGTCGAAAACTCCTCTTGCTGGATGCTGACGCTCTATCGGCAATGAATATCAAGGACTTCGACCACATCAAACACATTACCTATGGCATCCGGATGCTGATTCACTTTGAGCTGACCAAATTCTCGCACAGTATTTCTCTGCCGGACGAGAAGCCCAACGAGCTGTACTTGCTGTGGCACACGCAGACAGGCGTCAACTATGATGCATTCCGGCGATCAGACTTGTATATACGCATGCAGCTCATTCGCGAACG